CCGTGAAAGCAGAGATAAGTCTGGTTGCACATCTTTTCTACGTTGAGTGGGAGACTCTACTGAGTTCTGGAGATGCTGGTCTGTTGCTGTTGAAGGTACTGAGTTTGCTAAAATTCAGATTTTGGTTGGTCAAGCTGGATGAAGATTTCCTAAGCCGGTAAGATAACTCTTGAATTCAGCTGTGATCAATGACCTGCTTGTAGATCTGGTAAGAATGGGCAATTAACATTGGTTCTCGTGATATGAATGAGTATTGCTAGGAGGTTCGGTTTGGAGTGTAAAGGCGGTGAGGCTGCTGATCACGATGGAAGGTGTAAAGGCGAAGAACCTGGTGCAAGATGCTTGAAGCCTAGATATGAGAAAGCTTACCTGTGTCGGCGGAACACACCGCTGAGTAGCCGTGCCTTCTTCGATCTCATCCAAGAGTAGAGTATATTGTAAGGAACAGGAAACGGGTGTAAAGTCGCGAGGACAATATATATAGGCGGAACAGTAGGGGAATAGCTCCAGGGAGATTAAAATTTGTGTAGTTTGTTCCGCGTGTCAACAGAATGCGCGTTGCATTGATAAATCAAAATTACCTAGCGCCTCCTACTATCTCCAATCAATGAGAGGTGCTTAAATTGAAGTTGTTGAGTAATAGATTAAACCGCGTCAAAGCTTGAGCAAAGTTGTCTCAGATCAGGGATATGGTTGCGGCGAGTGAATGATCAAGTGATTAGTTTATTTGACAACTGTGTGGGGTTTTGATAGGGATGATTAATTTGATGGGTCAATTATCGTGAGACAATGCCCAGAGGCCTGTGCTGAGTTTGTTGTGTGCTCTGTTGAGCTGAAATAATGATAAAATACTTACCGTAGGTTTGGTTCGTGGATGATGAACAAACTGCTTTCCGATTTCATAGATTTTTTAGCCAAAAGGTTTGAAAATTTGATAAGAGAGAAAATCTTACGGCCCGTTTGCCACTTGGTAATGCTGTCCAACAACGTGTACATGTAGGTGGTTGAGTGTAACTTGAGAGTTCGATCAAAGATCTAGCAATCAGTATGGGGTCAACTGTCCCAAGGGCAGAGCCTAACATCAACGCCCGAATTATCTGTCATCCGAAGATACAAAGTGAAATGAAGGATGATAGAAACTCCATTGGATGCTGAAATCGCATTTTACCCAGGTTTCACTACATGACTAGCCTCTATGCCCCCAAAGAATGCGGTCAGGGTTTCCAGGCCCCAGTAGTCCCTCAAATCATATTATTATCTTCTGATGTCCGATATTCGGATTCATGCGCCAAATGTACCATACCACCTGTCGAAGGTTTGCATAAGTAAGCTGTAGTGAAGAACGCCGAGCTTAGAGATGGCTAGAGTTTTAATAGCTTTTGATATCAATTCAACGACTTCATAATGCCTTGCTAATGTTGTAGACAACCTCATACGACCAGAGGATACAACAATTGAAAATTTGCGCTGGCTTCATTACTTCAGTAAGTGTTGGCATTTTAGTCAAGCTAATACGTGCAGCGTAGGATGTCGCCATAGACTTCTTCCCGAAGTTGAAGTCCTTAGAATGGGTTCGGCGTGCCCTCGCTCTTTATCGGCTCTTCATATTACAGAGGTTTCTAGTTCCCTACCTCGTTTCAAAGTTGATATCAAGTTGGTCATTCAGCCGATATATTATTCATTTTAGAATTGATTATGCTTCTGCCAGCCAACATCTCGTATTTTTGGTCACCCAATGGTCATCAATGCCTGTCCACTATGATTTGAGTTGCGAAGATATTTATTTGCTTCATATTTGGTTGTATGCAGCCATGGCAACATACTTCGCACCGACACCAGGTAAATTCGGCAAAGGGTGACCTGGTCCTTGCTAGAAGGATCTTACTGGCATGCTTTGGAATATTGTTGAAGCGCGTTGCCAATACTTTGCAAGAGGCCGGTAACACCTGCCACCGGTTTCCGGCACAGATTCAGTTCGTTCATCTGTAACCATCGCCGCGCTTATTGGTATCAATCGGAATACGTCATGGGAAGAAACTACTGACGCCCTATCGTGATTATCCATGCTAATGCTCCCATATGTCTTGCGGTTGGCGAAAACGTTCGAAGCCTTTGTAAGCTAAATTAGAACATTGAGCCACGATCACGGCATCTTGTGCTTTTCTAATAGCTTCGCCGCAGCTTGGGTAAATCGAGCATGACTCGTAAGTAACCTCGCCATTGTCAACGGAAACTGAAATTAAACACGATGTAGAGTGAAAACTAAGCACGGTGATATTCAAACAGTGTTGACTAGATCCCTTGAAATAAAAAAACTTGAGAATATTTGATGAAAGATCGACGAGGTTTATAGAGCAATAACTCGCGCCGGAATTAGATACTCCTTAGAAAGCTACCACAATACAAGACTTATAGTTAGTAGATATATAGAATTTATAATTATTAGAGCTGACATTTGGATTCCAGCCCAAAATGCTGTAGCTTTTATTGTTAACATCCAGTGTCTGTAGTATCCCCTTGAATATTATCTTAGTACTTTGTAAGATAAGTACGCTAAACAACCTCCGATGAGGTTTATGCGTCCAATAAAAGTATTACATTTAGGAGTACATGATGATAAGTGGTAGTATGCTGATAACCAAAGCAACTGAATGGTCGACTGGAAAGGGAATAAGACCTTTGTGGCTCCTTTCACGCTCTAGATGATTATTTCCACTTTGCACTGCATTTTTAGCCCCGCCTCAGGGCCGCGCAGAGAAATTGTTTAACCTATACGGCCTGATTGGATATCCCCACGACATAGCCCCCTTCCCCCAAGGCTGCTTAATAGTCATCATGGAAGAAGACCCTCTTGTGACACTCTTCTCCCACAATGGCTCTTCCTATGACTTTACCAATAGAGGATAGTTACGGCACAATATTTCATCCTTGTTTTAATACTTATCTTACATACTTTCAGCTGCAATGGTAGGTAGCCACTTTTGAATCTAATCAGGAAATGGGCTTTTAATCAAAATAACCTTTTTAATTAATAATTAAGCGCGGTTTATAAGAACCCATCACGGGGTGTTAAGGTCCTATCTACCGTTCGCTCTTAAACTCCAGAATACAAGACCACCATAGCTAAAATATATATATATAAACAGAATCGAGCAAAATAAATGGACGAACGGGGAATTGAACCCCGGACCCCTCCCAGACGCGCTATTCCAAGTATCTTAGAGATGCGAAGGGAGTATCATACCCCTAGACCATTCGCCCATGCTGATTAGTGGAGAACTGACTTTCCGGCGTTCCATATGCATCTTGGGCCGAGAGCGGAGCACTTATTTCCTTCTATTCTGCTCCTGCAACGCCGGCCAAGGAAAAGAATACCTACCAAGATTACTAGTTAAAAGCCACGGTTTAATAGGGCTAAGGCGTAAAGGTTTAGGTCTTTACTGTATACGTAGGAGGATATGTTTCACTGCATTTTTAACACTAAGGCGGGGGGAGGATATCTGTGTAAAGCAGCACAGCCTTCTTATAATAATCACAAGTGTTAAAAGGTTACAATAAAAGTTAGAGTAGCTAGCTGCCACCCAAGCCACCTTCGTCATCTCACACTACGGCACTGCATTTTTAGTCCTAAAGAAGAGGACATTTGTGCAAAGCTCTGTAGAAAAGCACAACGTGTGGACAGACTGCTAATATAAGCGTTGAAGCTAACGTCATTCATGACCTGGTGTGTTCCCCGCCCCCACTTCGACCGCAAAAAAAGGAGGGGCCGGTCCATGAACAGAAATTTCTCGATTTCGGCAAATCAAAAAGAAGGACACTGAGGGCAAAAACATAATGCTCGACTAGGGCCTGATTCGAACAGACGCTCCCGAAGGAAGTAGATAACTAGAAACTCCTGATGTAATCGCAAGAATTTTCGAGTCTACCGCGTTAACCACTCCGCCACCTAGCCATGATGAATTCGTGTTGATTTCGGCTCGTAATGGATCTTGTGGCCCTCAAATCAGGACCAATGCCAGCCTAGGGCATTAACTGTTAGACAGAACAATATGCAGAACATTTCATATGAAAGAACCGGGATCGGAAAGGCTTAGGATTGGGATGATGCGCTTACTTGGCTCTGCTTTTCGTTCTGGTGGAATGAGTAAGCTGGGACGATATCATAGTGGGAAAGGAGGTGGCGAGTAAGCACTGCATCATGGTCGTGTGTCAAAGTTGATCTGTAATAAAGTCCGTTGACTACTAACTAGATGGGAAAGTGTTGCTTGCAAGATGGTAAGCTAGAATCCAGCATTGAGAACAGGCGTTGCAGCATATCCATGTTGTGGCACACACCGACAAATTACACAACAGTATATTCAACTACCCAACCGGCGCAAGACCGATGTAACAGCTACAGATAGCTCTGTCCTTGCTGCTCTATTGAATCACTGAGGGCAGCCTGCCTCACCTTTTCGCTTCTGTCAACGTCCTTCTTGGTTCCGAAGTCAATAATGCCAACTCTTCATCTTTGAATTTTAAGCACAGGAGCTAGGTAGTCCGCCGAGGATACATAAGAGGCTAGGGATAGATGGAACTTCAAACCTAGCTTTAAAGATCTAGACGTAGCACTAACGTTTCCTAACATCGTCTTTTTGGAATGAATGAATGGGAACTGCATTATACCTCCGGGAAGGGGACTCGACATCTTGCAAGATGGTGTTTACGTATCCCCCTATTACCGGCATGAATTCTATCAAGGCTCACCGCTATAACGCCTAAGTGACTATGGGTTGGTTTTTAACTAATGAGGGCATAAACTTAAGGTCATTCATTCATTATTAGTTTAGGGAAGAGGTATTACGTCGTCACAAAGATTCGATAAGTATCTTTCGAGTATTTGCAGATTATCTTGCACTTAAGCTACTTGTGCAAGGGGTTGGGCGTAGACTGGTGAGGTCAATATAGGTACAGTAAGCGGAGTAGTTTTCATCTTAGAGCCACTCGGACCTTGATTTGTATCTCGATTGGTCTAGTGGTCAGGATACCTGCTTGTCATTATACAATTCGCAGGTGGCCGGGGTTCGATTCCCCGATCGAGAGCTCTGTTTTTTTTTCTTTTTTTGCTTCTAGATTCGTTTCGTCCCGAATATATTGGGTGGGCTAGGTTATAATTTCTGAGCCATGCAATGGTTTTGATTTATTTTACATCGATTGTCCTTGTTGGTGGACCAGGGGCAAGTAGATTAGATCATATCTGCTGTCCTGTGTTCATTAATTGCGCCTCGGATTGACCAATAATGTTCCAAAAATGTTCCAAGTATATCAATTAAAGACCTAAGTGATTATAACATCTAATGAATCTATACTACAGAGCCGTGGCCACAGAATGAGCATATGATTCGCTTCCGAGGCAAAATGCATATAAAAGAGAAGAGCCCAAGACAGAAATCCGCCCACGCATGCTTTAGGAGTACTCAACACATAGAATTTCCCGAGTAAGCAAATTTACTCGATCCTCTTCTTTCCTTCCTCAGCGTTAAGATATCTCGCAGTGCTCAATCCGCGCTCGTGTCTGGCGACGAATGAACCGATCACCTTGCCTTTTCTGATCTTTCCGATCGTCTCTTGGTAACCCTCGATAGCCCACGGTCGTGGGTTCAGTTTCGGCCAGTTCACCTAAGGCGGAAATTAGTACACAATTTTGAGTAAAGACAATCCTTTGACAGGTGTGGAGAATCGGTTGTTATCACTTACAAATAGCATGCCGTTTTGGAGGATAAAGTTCAGCGACCAACCGCCAACTACCAGCCAGAACAGGATGAATAGGCGCATAGGGAGGACGGTGGAGTCCGGCAGGCGTTTGCTAAACAAGCCTAGGAAGACGAAAAATATGCTGAAAGCGAGGATATAGGGGATGCTTTGAATGAGAATCGGCCTGCGGTCGGCGAATACCAGAGACGAGCCGATATTAGCGGTGGTGGGCTCATAAGCGCCTAGAAATAGGTCATAGGCGTCTTGCCGGGGTCCGTCTCGGAAGTTGTTCAGATAGTATCGGGTTACAGCAATGTTGCCGTCCTGGAGAGTCCCTTGTTTGGTACGCTTGCCCAAGCGTGTAAGGTCCGTTTTCATAGCTCCAGTACCAGCATATGCTTTCGACACAGTATCGGCATTGTCTGCCCACAAGTTGCGGAAGAGGAACTCGAAGGCTGGATCGGTCGTAGCAAAAGTTTCTCCTCGTTGTTGCAGACCTAGGTCTACAAAGATACGATCCAAAGTCCATCTGGCCAACATACTCTGGACCACGTTTGTACGGTCGAGCGAGTCCATGCAGTTCGTCCGTACGACACTGGTTTGGAAGTTCCTCGTCTCTAGCCCACCGTTTGCAGGCATATCGACGCCTCGGAAATACTGTTGTTCTATCAATGCATCATGCAACTTATCAACCAGCATCATGGCACGATGCATCTGGAGCCCCTTGGTCTCATGGTGAAAGTCGAAATAGACATAATGCAGGCGGTCAAACTCCTGTTTGGTGGTAGTGGATTCGACGACACGGAATTTCTCGTCGGTAATATGGTCTTTACTGACTGATTCAGTCTTTGAGGTTAAGAGCATATCCACCATTTGTTCGTAGGCCTCCTTTACGCGTTTCTCGCGACCCTTTTGATTAACTAGATTGACGAGGTAGTTGTCGCCGTATATGCGAATCTGCTCATCAAAGTGCTTCTTGGCGGCAGAGAAAGCAGTTTCGATTCCGCGAATTTGAAGTTTCGGAGTATACTTCAGCGCGTTGATCTCGGACCAGTAGACGGGGACACTTCCTCGGGTTTGGACGTAGGACATGATTTGCATTTCCCGTCCTTCAGAAGCGCCGAACTTGCCACTTTGCATATCGGTGCTTCCTGCGTACCCGCCCAGACCACCGCCCGTGTCGTTCAATACTACGACTTGCTCGGTTTCATTGTAATTGGCGGCGTGTCCTTCCTCGTCAATACCTCTGGTGAAATATCTTGTTCCAGCTCGGTATCGCGACTTTCTTGTGATAAGGACAATAGTCAGGGCCGTGCCCTTGAACTTGGTTGGCCGTATTTCCATTGTACCCCATATCAATGGCAGAATAAAGGGGTCGGCAGCTGGTTGTGGACCCTGCTGTGATCGATTTCCTATTTTTCGAAAGTTGATTAAATCGGACTGAACGAATCGGTTCCAGAAAAAGCGATCGTCGGCGCGCATCCAGAGAGGGGCAGAGTTGTCGATGGAAGCCTGCCTCTGGAAGCTATTGGTGAGGTCGATCGAATAGGAGAAGTACATGGGACCATTCATAATGAAAGTCTTGAGGAGAAATAAGAATTGGTCTTCGTCAGGGTCGCGGATCTGGCGTTCTCGCATGGGGAGGAAGTCTGTCGAGATAACCTTGTACACCATGTGCCCCTTAAGTCGACCCACGGGTTGGGCTTTCGTAATGACGATGACATATTTGTCTATTTCAGCTCGTCAGTCCTCAATTCCAAGTGGTTTTAGGAAAGAAATCCCTACCTAGTCTTAGTCGAATAAGACCAAGGATGCCGGCTATACTAGATACGCGAGCGACACGTTTGGTGTTGACAGAGGCAGTTTCGCTTAGACGGACATCGCCAGTTGGCCTATCAATGACCAGAGCCGGAGCGGTGGGAGAAGAGGGCGAGGTGAATGTGTAGGACTCGGCAGCAATGTGGACATTAATGTCCCGGTACGGAAGCGTCATGATGGGCAAGATGATAGTACGTTCCGGCGCACATTCATAGTTTCGAAGAGAGACAGGCCTAAAGTGGGTTGGTAGGTTGGTTGGCAGTCGATAGGTAGGAACTTGGAAACGACTAGGTGGTCTCTAGGCTAATAGCCTCAGGAGGTGGTACCGGTCGAGGACCCTTTGTAGCGCAACCTGACGTCGCACTTTGGACTCGAGGGGATTAATTTCTCCTGAATCTCAAGATGCCTAAATGTGTATTTGGAAACGTGTAGGTAGCCTTACATATTTCTATAAGCCACATAGCGTGAGATTTGAGCCGACATGGATGCATATTCACATGGTTGCCCCACCAAGAACCAGCCTAATCGAGGTGTAGATTCTCTATACAGTGCTGTGGTAGGTGAGATCTATCTTTCGATACTGTGTATTGTAATAGCGGGCTTAGCTGCCACCTGACTAGATTCAACGGGTCATCCAGAACCTGATAATGGACCCTTCGTGGCCACTGAAAGAGGAACACCGAGGCGAGTGCGGCGAGTGCGTCGCTGAGCCTGTAGTTAGTTGGTTTACTGGCTTACCTAGGCTAGGCCCCCAGCATACAAGGCCCCAGTCAATCTTGGCCCTCAGCCACTCACACTCACCACTCAGCTCACGCTGGAACCATCAAGCTTCCAAGTCACTTCATTGATCAAATGTCTAGGCAGTGACCCCCAACAAGTTTCCTAGCACCACCATTCCACTCCCGTTACAACGACACGCCATCGCCGTCTGAGCTTCTTGTCTCGTCGCCTCATATTTTTCGCAGCCTCCTCTCTCTGCAACCGCACCCTATCGACGTCCGACATTCACTAAGCTCCTTTCCGCCCCGATAAGATACGCCGTCCCTCCCATCGGCCTCCTTTGTCTCTCGATCCGTCATAACCGCGCAGCCAGCCTCTGCGCCCTTCTTGGCTATCCACACCACACATAATCCTATAATGGCTTCTCGGGCAGGGCCAGCTGCAGGCCGCGGCATGAACACACGTTTCGCACAATTCAAGCTGGTTTTATTGGGTATGCATGCTTATTCCCCGCTGCTCGTGTCACTGCTCGTTGATGCTGACCCAAGTCTAGGAGAGTCCGCTGTCGGAAAGGTAACGGAGACGACATTGATACCAACCGAGAACGCCGACTAAGCTAACGTTGTGGATTAGAGCTCGATAGTGCTGAGATTCGTTAAGGTACTAAATAAATCCCATCTGCGTGTTATGCCCCGGGATCTAGTTGCCTATGCTTATTCTTGTCCAGGATCAATTTGACTCGTACAGAGAATCGACCATCGGCGCCGCTTTCCTCACACAAACCATATCCCTCGACGAAAACACCACTGTCAAGTTCGAGATCTGGGATACCGCCGGTCAGGAGAGATATAAGTCTTTGGCGCCTATGTACTACCGGAATGCCAACTGCGCCGTGGTTGTTTACGATATCACTCAATCTGTACGTGCCTTATCATATAGTTGGAGAGACGCCATGGCTTGACTGACTTTGAATGTGATAGGCGTCTTTGGACAAGGCAAAGGCATGGGTGAAGGAACTGCAACGACAAGCGAACGAAAACATCATCATTGCGCTTGCTGGAAACAAGTTGGATTTAGTAAACGAGCAGCCCGACAAGCGTGCGGTTCCGACAGCGGAAGCGGAAGCTTATGCTAACGAGGCCGGTTTACTATTCTTCGAAACCTCGGCCAAGACGGCGGAGAACGTGCAAGAACTGTTCACTGCTATCGCTAAGAAGCTTCCCCTGGACCAAGTCGGCCCTCGTCATACGCGCCCCGGCCAACGACCGGGCGGTGTCAACCTAGGACCGGCGGAGGGTAGAGACACGCAGGCAGGAGGAGCTTGCAGCTGCTAGAAACGTCGTTCTAGCATTTTGTGCCGTGATGATAAAGGGATGAACCTCTTAATCTGAGATTTGGGCTACTTATACGGCGTGTACTTCACTTAGCGCCTGCCGAACGGGGCCGGATTTGTGTCGTCTTCGGGTAGACAGACGTCGACATTATCTTCCAAGACTGCGCACTTAATAGAAGTGTGGGGTGAGTGCACGAACGTGTGCGTATGAGCGGAGATTGTTATTTCAACGGTGAGGAATAGGGAGAGTAGCTGTGAATCTGGTGTATATTCATTCCATTGGGGGTTCTCTCGGTAGGACGGCATTACGGTTTTCTCTTTCCCTCGGTTTGTTTTTTTAATACTTGAGATTCTTGATGAGGTTCTGAAGTACAGCATTGGTCTCATATGGTCGTTAGTTAGACTGGTGATGTGACCTGATGATCACGCAGAGAGCACCAAGCCACAGTGTGCTTTTTGATGTAGCGTTGTGAAGTAT